GTACATTCTATCTCTTCGTCCAGGTAAATGTGAACACACAGATTCTGCTAAACTGATGGCCACATTTGCACCAACTTCAGGAGGCTTTAGTCAAGCCCAGAGATCAGCTGCAAAAATGGATGGCAGTATTCACAAAAAAAAAAAAACCAACCCAAACCATCCATGGGTCTTAATTCCCTGCCTTCATTTGAAAATGCAAGTTCAGTCACCTCATACTCATTTTGAAATTTGACCCTTCATCACTGTCTTTAACCACAGAAATGAAGCTGACAACAGAAGGTTAGGCACAACTCTAACAATTGGTTTTGTGTTTGTTAATGCCACTATCGTGAGGACCCAAAATAAAATCAAATTAAATCTAGGACTATGCTGCTTATGGCCCTTGGACTTTTAAATGATGACAACAGTTTGTGAAAACTTATTTCAACCACAATTTCAAAAAAACAACTCAGAAAAGATAAGCAAACCAAAGGTGCAGATGACAAGATATTTGAACTCCCACATTAACAAAAGCTCAGCAACAGAGCTGTTGTTCACCTTATACACTCTGGACACATGCGGGTTCAGAATTACAGAACCCAATTTTCATTCCTAGCTTTCAGACTAATGAAGTAAAATTGCTACGTAATGCAATGGACATCTTAGTGAAGTTTGCTCAGCATTCAAGATCAGATACCTAAACATTAACATTCAGATACTTTGGGAAAAGCAATACCACAGAATAGAGAGACGGATAAACCTCCTCAATTCAGGCCTACTCTCCATATTAAAAAAAAAAAAAAAGGCAAGCTGCAACAAATACACTGATAAATAGTTACCTGCTGTAACAGCACAGAGGAAATCAGTGGTTTGGTGATACAGTAGGTCAAAATAATCGGTTGCATCCTAACAACAACTGGTTGAAATTCAGTTCTTAAAGGCAGACAGAGCCAAAGACTAGAGACCATTTTTGTTCTATAAGTGATTCTGGGAGATTAAATTTGAAACACAAGGGGGTGCTGGCCTCCAGGGCCTAGAAAACAGACTCATAAGCCCTCAGCTTGAAAAAGCTCAGGCCTACCTAATTTACCACCAGATAAATTTATCAGTGTAGGTCCAGCCAATTTACACAGTACATGATACGCTTAGATTCAGCCAACATAACAAAATCTGTTAGTCACAGCCTTGGACTGCCTCAGATCTTGAGATGACAAGGCCAGGTCTCTGCTGCACAGGGCTTCCTTAGCTGGGGTTGGGTTAGTGTCTTCCCTCCCAGTAGCCTCCAATGCCTTCAGAAGAACCTGGGGCAGAAATGCAGGGTGCACCCTGTGACTCTCCAGCACTGAATAACCAGCTACTTTTTTGGTCCAAGGAGTCATGCTCCCATCTGGTAGAAAGGCAATATCACTCGCTTTCCTCAGGTTTATAAAAACAGACATACCATTCAGCCATCAACACTGTATAAGGACTCCTAGATGACCCATTTGATTTCCAGCAGCACTAAGTCTTCATAAGTTTTCATGAAAGCTGCTGGCAGCTTTTGGTCACTTGGTCCAAGGATTAGGAGACAGACTCAGATACTTATTTATAACCACCCATCTCTCCCATCTACAGTCCTGCCTCTTCTTTTCGGCTAGAGTGATTTCTCATTTCAGAGGCTTGCAAGTGTGGGCTCTTCTCCATACCTTTCAGCAAGTGTGTAGCACTCCTCGTGCATAAGATGGTGATGAACTGTATCTCATCAGTGCCCCGTATCTTCTCCCCAGCAGCATAGAGAGTCTGCAATTTAACACACAATTGTTAGAGAGATATTCTGAGTGTGCAGCTGGTAAAGGAGCACAGTTTGGCTGAAGGCACTGCTAGGGTAAAGGGGTTTGAAGTAAGCCAAAACACTGTGAACTAGACTCTCCTAGAATGGTTGATTACTAACGCCCTTGACCACATCTTCTAGTCAAATTTAAACAGACACTATTCTCCATCCTTTCCAGTCCTCCTGCAGCAGCTAGAGCAGCCAGCACTACTCTTGATGCTTTTTCTACATTCTTTGCTGCCCCCCTCCACCATACTCTCATACTTTCATGTATGAAAAGCAGCTGAGCCCAAGCCCAGCTCTCATCATTCCTCTTTGGGAGAGCAAGGCTCAGCAGTGCAGGTAAAATTGAAGAACCCCAAGTTGCTTCTGATGAAAACCACTCCGCCCCAGACTATTGTGTTTCCAACCCCCTGTTGACCAGGACTTTGGTGTCCAGTGAAGCATTCTAAGTTCAAGACAGGTGGGATACCAGCTTATCACTGATCACAGGCGTTTGGGAGTACCTCTGCATCCTGAAGAGCCAGTGCTGTGTCCACATAGAGAGTGGCATTATCCCTCTCACCCTATAAGAAGAAGAAAGGTAACCATTTTGTCTCATGAAGATCCTTTCATATATAAGCATAACAGCATACACTCTGGGCAAGACCAATTATCCTTCTCAACTATCTATTTCTGCAGAGTACACAAGTAGTAATGGTTCAGACAGCACAAGGGCTAACTGCTTCCCAGAAAGACACTGAAATCAGTCATATGAAGTGGAGCCAAAAGAATATTGAGTTATTCTGCTGCTCGTCAGGAAAATTCAGAAAATGTGATAGCATAAATGCATCTGAATGCACTCAGCATTGAAGGGACAGACCCTGGAAGAGTGGTGAATCATAGTTGAGGGGCATTGTTTTCTAACACCCTTGTAGACTGTAATGGCTTTACACATATGTGAGTGAGGTGTCTCCCTGCAGCAGAGCTGGCTGAAAGTTCCTAGCTCCCTTATGGCTGCTAAGGGAGGGGGGTTCACTGCTTCAGTCACATTGAAGCCAAAACACCAATCCAGTCCAAGCGACATCTTTGTCTCTGCAGTTTATCTGGTGATCAGGGCTGCACTGTCTGTTCTATTGCATGTCTTCTCCAAAAAGGAAGAGAAAAATGTGAACAACTTTATATTCTTATTTCTGTTCTCTAGCATTACCTGAAGAAGACAAACCAGGATCTGTTCAAAATAGCCACTTGTTTCTGATTTTATGTCTTCTTCCAGATCAGAACCATATTCTACCCAAAGGAAAGAGAATGATGAGGGAAGGATTTGTTATTTCAGTGATACAGTAAGGATATTACCAGTCACCCCAGGACACACAATAGCCTGACACTAGTTAAGAATGTTGCTAGGGAAAAAACAGGGCTGAGACCAACTCACACCCTCAGCAATACCCAGAACAGCATTCACATCCAAGTCACTAATGCCACTGAAGTCCAAAGAATAAACTCAAAGTCAATGTCAGAGATGTAGTTTAAGGGACCAAAGAGATATCAAATATATACAGATATATATTTGATAAACTCCCATCTAGAACGTATTTAATAAGGAGAAAGCCAAGTGCATAGCTATAGTTAGGTTTGCATTCTGACAATAGCCTATGTGGTCAAGCTGAACCAAATCTGTGATTTGCTAACCTCTTCCTCTAGCTGGGTGGAGAGTTAGAAAGGGATTTTCAAATTCTCTCAGCATAGCCATGTTCTGTTTGACAGGCAGAAAGCAGTTAGGTTGCACCTTCTTTCTTTTAAAAATCCCATGTTTCTGCTGACAGCGCTAGTTGGTAACACCATTTCTGCTGTGCAGTCAGGCAGTCACACATTGCTCTGACCAGCAAATCAGAGCCTCAGGCACTTTACCTTCTCTGTACGCCTTGATTATCTCTTTGATCTGCGCTTTTGTCCGGGATGCCAGGATCTCTATGATAACACTTTCACTTGTTCCCACACCCTTTAACAGAAAACAGTGGAGAAGTAAGGGTGGAGAAAGGCATTTAGTCATGGACTGTAATTTATTGCTAGAGAAGTATGGCCAAGTGAGCAGTCGGATGGCAGTCAAGCGTTAGGCTGTATGCTGCGCCATAAGAAACTGTCAGAATGAAAGGTGGAGACATAAAACACATTTGGTTTGAACATGGTTTCCTTTACTGAGGTGCCTAATTCATAAAGGATGATTTTATAAAACCGTGCACTTCTGCAGTGCATTTTTGGACCTGGATTTTTGATAACCGTGTTAGAGGGATGTGGGGAGACCAAAGCTTGCCTGTCACTCCATCTTTGTACCATTTTAATAGAACTGTCTGCATTTGAAACTTAAAAAGATACTGTATCAATAAGTAGGATCCCAGCCAACCCCAGCCTGGCCCTCATGCTACCCCTCCTTGATTTCTTAAAGGTTTCAAGTCTCAGGTAAGGTGTCAGGGCAGTAGCTTTGGCCCAAGGTCATTAAGCTCCGTTCATGAGAGGCACTGCAGAAAGCATTGAAGGGATATTTAACTGAAAACCATCATTTGTGGATATTCATTCCTTGCCAAAGCTGAGTTTAGCTTTGCTGTTGTCTTCCCCAGGCTCTGAGACATGTATGTACAGAAACTCTCATACACCCCTAAACATTAAAGAAGAATTTTCCTCCAGATATGTATTAATAGCACATATTAATAATAAACTTAATCACGTATCACCCCAGTTAATATCACTTGTGTTAATAAGCACGGTTATGGGAAGTTAACACTGAATCCATACTACTAGTTAAATACTAGTGTGCAATCCACTTACCTTCATGGCATCATAGAGCTCCTTGGCATCATACTGGAATGGGGAATACATGAGAGCTACCATGAGTCTCTCAAAGTTGCCACTCAGTTCAGACTTCAGGCTTTCAATCAGATCCTGTTAAACATGAACCACACAGTTACATTAAAAGTCTCAGAGGATCTCTTTATTGCCTAGGGCCTGTTTTCATCTCCATGGCCTACAGCAATGAAGGTGAATGACAGTATTGTGTTGCTAGTTTATTAGAAAAGATTCTGGGACTGAAAGAGGCACCCAACTCCAAAACGGAATTTGTGTACGTCCTTCCACATTTCTTCTTGTTCCATCACTCAAGCTTCTCCCAGTTATTAACTAACTCTGCAGCAAAGTATGGAAGGTAAAAACCTTCCTCCACCCTGCTTTGCTCAGTGAGCAGAATCACACAGCTGAAGGCCTTGAACTGAGCAAGGGATGTAGCTTCAGACAGAGCCAATTCCCAAATCCTGTATATAAACATGCACCCAGGACTTCTGCAGAATCAAGCATGCCATCTGTTTGAAGACAAGCATCAAACTTTCCTTTCACCATAATGCAGGCTTTTTAGGGTATGAGTCACCCTGTTTTAGTGGGATGCAAACACTCTGTTCATTGTCCCATGTCCCCCCCCAGTTTGTTTCCCTCACTTAGGCCCTTGCATAGCAGTCCCATTTCAACAAGGGTCACTGGGGATTCTTGTTTCCATGCTGACCCAAGAGTCTATATTGCTCTTTCCCAATACATTTCCTTCTTTCCCTCTTTAACTGTGACTCTCAGACAACTGGCTCCAGAGTAAGGCTGGTGGAAGAGTTGGCTGCTGGGAAGGTTTTCCCAATAAAAGAAAGATTTTATCAAAGACAAAGATAGACACAGAAGAACATGGTTGTTAATAATGATAATAGTTTGTTTCAATTTTCAGAATTTCCTAATAAGTGTAATTAAATAAGTCTTTAAGTTGAACTTTCTTTGGCATTTAAAAGGGCCTGAAATCAAAACAATATTTTACTCAAAATGCCACTTAGAAAAGTATAAATTTTTGGTTTAGCTTTGAAAGTGATGTTTAAGTTAAAATAGATTTTTAAAAAATATTTCCAGTCAAAATACATTTTACACAAAAAAACCAACCAACCAAACACAGTCTTCAGGGGTGAAACAGTTTTTCTGACCAAAAATTGATTTCACACATTCACTCCAGGCCTTATAAATAAATACTCATCTAGTTATTTGAAGAAGACCTGCATATTCTTTACATGATGCTTGTAGGATGAACTGTATACCAATTTACTACAGCCTGCATGCAGTGATACAGTGACTGAATATGGTTTTGTTTTGGAAGAACCTTTCCAAACTGTCCTTTGAAGGATTTGGCAATCTGTTGACGCTGTGTATTGCTCCTCTTGGTTAGGACATCAATAATAGCTTGTTCATCAGTCCCTGTGGAGAGCAACAATAAGCCATAAACACAGTGCACAGAGTAAGCTGAGACTAGTGCAAAATCCCAATTCAAGTCTTCAGACAACCTTCCCTACTTCACTGTCTTTGTCATGTAGAAGTTTTAGTATGTATAGAAGAAACTCCTATTTTTAATTTTCCACTTTAAAAAGTGGTATCTCTGGCTAGTTTTCTTAAGGAATAGCTTTCAACTAGGCAGTTATAAGCAGAACATAGAATTTACATATGTGGTTGGAGTCAACTCACCAAGCCCCTTCATGGCCTTGTAGAGAGTCTGTGCATCAGGTGTGGGGTCGAAGTTTAAGGCACCTGTCACAGACTTGCCCTCTGCTTCACTCTGAAAGAAGAAAAATACATGACTTTTTACCACTGCTTTTTATTAGCTGAAGAAAAAGTAGTCTTGAAAGTAGATTAATATTATTCATTGCCTACACTTGGGGAAGGCACAGAAGAGTGGAAGGGTTAGTTCAAAATGTCTCAGCATAGCTCCAAAGAGAACAGAAGTTTCTTGCCAACAACTGTCTCTACCAGCCTTCAGCTTCTGGCAGAAACATGCACCACAAAGCATGACTGACACTGCTGCAACAGTCATTAGGTGCAGGCTCTCTGGTAGAAAAATGCTGAGTAGACTAGATTTTCCCATTCACCCATTAAATAAAATACTTCATAACATGTATGCTGTCATATTATATTACTATTAGGAACTGCATTTCCCTGTGGTTTGGTGCAGGATGGATTTTGATTTCATGGAATAGTCATGTTCTCATAAACCACTTTTCTAGGTAGCAGCTTTATTCTCCTGCTGTTGATTCACTTGTGCACATTCCAAGAAGGAAGTACCTCTGCTGGAAGGATCTGAGCCAACAGAATACTTTGAAGGAACAGATCCACCTGGAGAAGTGCAGGTTTGATGTTCTTCCCTGAACCAAGTGCCAACTACACAGGAATCCTCCAGACAGACCTCCTAAGGCACTGCCAGTAACAGAGTCCCAGGGCAGAAAGACACACTAAGACTTACTCCAGTGACCACAAGTAGTAGGGCCATCAAGCAGAACCCATCTGACTTGAATAACATGGACCACCAAGTGCTGCCCAGCAGCTTCCTGGTATGGTACAAATCCCTTCTGCTCTTATCTCCTGTGCTAAAGAGGGCTCTACCTCTCATCTCCTAGAATCTCATCTATGTCATCCCCAGAGGAAAAGCCTTCAATCAGTCCTTGCCAGGTGGAAAAACTTGTGGAAATTCCCTTCAGGACCTGCATTCCT